TTCTGGAGTGAGTGGGCCCTAAGTGAAACTACACATCTACCCAGATGCTTGGCCTTTTCTATTAACGCATTACAGAGATTTACTGAAACTGGAGAGTGCAAAATCTGGTTCAGCCCTGCAATTACCTTCCAGGTTTTTTTTTCTGTCAAAGCTTAATTGAAGAAGCCAAAGTTAGAAGCGGATTGGGTACCATGCACAACTGCACAAGATTTTATACTCTCCAGTTTTAGTAAATCACTAATCTGAAACAAGTGTGTACAGTGTGAAGTCCAAATTTTTTCATCTTCATACTTTTGCTTTTTTAGTGATTTCGAAATCACTATAACCACTGTACTAGCATAATGGCCAAACAGAATACAGGCAGCCAACTGTTATTTTGCTACTGCAAGTCAGATCTGGTTTTACAGGTTTTAGCATTTATTAGGGCTTGTAAATACTTGTCCTAAAAAGAAAAAAAAAAAAAAGCGCTGAGATTTTAGATGGGAAGAATTTCTTCACTGTTACTCTGATGCTCCAACCAAGAAGTCCTTCACTATCTGTTACACTCTAATGCTCTGGGCATGGTTTTTGAAACTCCTACTTTTTTTTTTCTCTAGTAAATACACTGTTAACCATTAGCCGCCCGGCCTATAGCCGTTTGGCGCCCGCAAAAATAGTTTAGCTTTCTGGGGTGTACGCCATTTGGCGTCCTCCCGCACATGCGCAGTTTGCGCGGTTGCAGAGCCGCGCAGCGGCGTGATCTGTCACCGGCCGTGTACCTCGGACACGGCCGATGACAGATCTGAGTACCGGCCCCCGTTGTCGGTACCATGTGACCTGCTGTGAGCAATCACAGCAGGTCACATGACAGTTGTATACAATGGATGGCTTCATTCATGCCATCCATTGTATACTAGTGCCTAGCTGTGAATGGTCACAGCAGGTCACATGCACATGTCATGTGATTCGCTGTGGCCAAATCACAGCTAAGCACAAAAAAAAAACAAAAAAAACCTGAATGAACGATGTCATTCAGGTAAATGCTTGCTTATAGCAAAGTAATTCTTTGCTAAAAGCAAATTGTGTAAAAAAAAAAAAATAAAAAATACTGATCACTTCCCCGAAGTAGTACAATGTTACTATGGTAACATTGTACTACTTTGGTCATAGTAAAATATGAAAAAAATCTAAACAAAATTAAAAATTAATAAATAAAAAAAATATATATTTTTTTTTCATACTGTCACCAGTCAGTGTCCCTGATCACCGCCATGCCAGTTATATGATGATGCTGTACTGCACTGGTGACCGTATGTAAAAAAGAAAATAGTGAAAATAATTTTTTAATTTTTTCATTTTCCGAAAAATTATGACAAAAAAAAATACTACTTCAAAAAACTCGCCATTCCTCTTATGAAGTACGTCGGACTGTCTACTCTGCAAAAAGTGGTCATTTGGGGATATCTGTACTGTTCTGACATTCTTGGACCTCAAGAAATTAGATTGGCCGTCAGTACTTCAGGATTGATCAATATTCAGATCTATACCATAGTTTGTGAACTCTATAACTTTCCTACAGACTAAATAATACATCCTAATTTGGGTTATTTTCACCAAAGACATGTAGTAGAATACATCTCAGCCTAAATTTATGAAGAACAATTATTTATTTGTAAACTTTTATAACAGAAACAAAGAGAAACGTGTTTTTTTTTTCAAACTTTTTGGTATTTTTTTGTTAATTTAGCAAAAAATAAAAACCCCAGCGGTGATTAAATACCACCAAAAGAAAGCTCTAGTTGTGTGAAGAAAATGATAAAATTTTAGTTTGGGTACAATGTTGTATGACCGCGCAATTGTCATTCAAAGTGTGAGAGCGCTGAAACGTGAAAAAAATGGCCTGGGCAGGAAGGTGTAAAATTGCCCGGTATGGAAATGGTTAAGCTGCACATATAGGTGAAATCCTGACCTGGTCACTCAGTCTGCCATATAAAGCTTGATGTGCTGAAAACTACATTGCTGATGAGCTTTAGAAGAACCAAGGCTTTACAGCACAGGCTTCAGATGTCCCTTTCGACACAGTACTTTAGCACCATGCTTGCTTATAGGAACTTGAAATTTCCACATGTATACAACTGTATATGGATTTTGGCCGTTTTGTTATTTCACAAGATATCTGTTTTTTCTATCTACAAAGACACCAGGGACTCCTATGTTGGCTCACTTTTTTTTTTTTTTATTCAGCTATAAACGCAGGTTGTAGAAGAAAGCGAACTTTTATTCTAGAAATATGCTATATATAAAATGTGTACACAAACCCCCGTGATGCTTTACAGCTGAAAAAAAATGCTTTGAATTGTTTATTTTCTGAATTCAGTGTGAAAGCAATGTTAAAGTACACCCACTTGGTACTTTAATAACCTTGCTGAGTTTGCTGCAATAATAAAACACAGCAGTCCAGAGGTGCCTGGCTGTAACCTTAGATGTCTCCTTGAGCACCTTAGGTATGTGAATAACAAATGCTGTGTTTTTGGCGAGAAAAGGCTGTGTTTGACCTGCTTTGCCTGCTGTTCAAGTGTGCCTCAATTAGGAGATGCTGCTGCCAAATAAATGCATCTCTATGCTGGTCAAACGCAGAAACTGTTATGTGTTCTGTACTGCTCAATTAAAGTCCAAGGGATTTTACAAACCTACGTTTGACGTGCATGACAAATGCAACAAAATGCCAATTGATACAAGCGCTTATTTGTTGTTTGAATTGAGGAAGATCTGAGATTATTTTAGAACAGCTACTTTGCCTAGATAATCCATGCTTCCGTGACTTTTCTATGGCTTTTGATCTTTAAGTCGTTCTTGATGAGTATAAAAACATTTAGGGCTCATGCACACACCATATCTGTTGACCTGTAGTAATCTGTATAGGCTGTTATGCTGAACCCTTTTACTTTTGTGCTTAGTGTTGCTGACCTGGAACAAGAATGCATATTGGAACTTCAGATTTTATTAGAAACTACTGGTGGGGTAGCATAACAGGGCAGCAACTAGCATTCTTAGTAGGTCAACAATAGCTGCCATATTTTATCTTATGGCAGGTTATTTTTTTTTTATATTTTGCCATCTGTGTCCCATAGGGAAATATTTCCTTCACTTCCTGTCCAAAACAGGCAGTAAGAATAAGTTCCTCCAAGGTGAGGGAATACCAGTGTCACCAGAACTTGTGTCCTCATTGGAAGATGTCCCCTCTATTACGGTTTGTGTAAATCCAAAATGTTTCTTTTACTTTCTCTTGGCTAGATATACAAGCAAAGGAAGACCTTTTGAATAAAAATGTAACACGAATGTCTGGTTAAAGTGGACGTAAACTCCCACTGGACACTTGTACCTACAGGTAAGCGTATAATAAAGCTTACCTGTAGGTACAAGGAATATCTCCTAAACCTGCACTATTTACGGAGATATACAGTGTCCCTGCAGCCCTTGACATCATCGTTGCATACGCTCTAAAGGAACGGCATACACATGCTATTCCTTCTGAGTTCTGTACCGTGGCCAAGACTCCTGTGCGCATGCGCGGGAATTACATCATCGCGGCTTGGCCAATCAAGTGGCAAGAGCCCGCAAACCGAAAAGGAAGACTGGGTGAAGATGAAAGCCCTGTCAGCGATAACAGCACACCGCTGGAGGGCTTCATTCTAATGCAAGTCTTTCATGTGCCTACTAGCACATTTTGCAGGGGGAATTTTTTGGGTTTTCTTTCTTTCTTTTTTTGGCTGTTTGCTACAACTTCAAAGTATCTTGTTTACCAGGTTTTTACTGGAATTATGTTTAGCTGAAAGATTAAGTCTATCAATATTTACATTACGTAACATTTGCTTGTAGTTTAATATTTTAATACTTTATTTTTCAGATACATGCAAAACTTTACACTGAACTTTTTTGGATTTTAGCCCAGTTGCAGTGTTTACTTGATGGCATTAACCTCCCTGGAGGTATTCCCGAGTGTAGCTCGGGGTAAAGTTTCAGCACCACAAGCGGTAACCCCGAGCTACACTCGGGAATACCTTGCAGCGTTGCTCCGGGATCTCTTCTTTACTTACCTTGTCCTGCGCTTCCCACGATGTCCCTCCTGCAGTGTCCCCTGTAATGTCCTCCGGCGGATGCAGGCATCTGTCATCTGGTTTCCGTCCCCTGCGAGCGTCGGGATGTACGGGGGACGGAACTGGCGAGAAATTTGAAAATGACAAAAAGTGACATTCACTAAATACACTAAAATCACTTAGTAAAACATTACTGTATCAAACCATTTCACATACATTTTGTCCCTAGTGCTTTGTCCTGTGCCCTGCCTGCATTTTTACTGTTCTTTCTGCCTGAAAACTGAGAAATGTCCATGGCGTCCAAAAAGCCCCTTTTGACCTCAAAATCACTTTTTGGACCAGCTAGAGGACAGCGATAGTAAATTAGAACTACTTGCAGAATTGAGTGATAATGATTTGTGGGAAAATTCGTCATCAGACACTGAAAACGATTCTGCGACTTTGCTCAGTGATGTGCTAACTTGGTGCTATATTTCAAATTTCAGTGATTTTGGTTTGACTATATTATTGAATTAAATGTATTATATTATTGTTTATGATTATTTATTATATTTATGATTTCGTGTTTCAAATTTTAACATACCCGAATTGTTTACTAGACTCTTGTTCGGACAGATTTCAGTGAGTTATTCCTAAAAATTACAGGCCTACAATAAAAAAAAAATACATATTTCAATGCAAAAAATGTACCGCTTTGAGCACAGATATATGGACATAATCAGACCGCTAGGGAGGTTAATAGCTAATTGTTTGCTTTTATTTGTTTTTCTTTTTTCTTTTAAAATGACCCTCCTCATTTTTGACAGCTCTCATCTTAACATCTGTTTGCGCTATCTAAAAAAAAAAAAGGTTTGCCTTTTTAGTTCTACTTTAAATATTTAGTATGTAATTTTTCTATTAAGCTGTTTGTGTTTCTTTGTTTTTTATCTAAAGGGCATATTCCCTGGTGGACTCTAGTCAAGTCTCCACGTTTCTGATTTCAATTCTTCTTATAGTCTATGGCAGTTTCAGGTGAGTACCATCATGGATATTCATTTTGATCCAGAAATGAAAGGCTAATACTACTTCATGCCTGATAGCATATGATGTGTGTGAACAGCTTAGTTTTTAAATCCCATCACATATGTAATTAGGAAAGCAGCCTGCAGTTCCTAGACCTTGTGAATGAGCACCAGATAAAGTACACTGACCCCAACTTTTGACTCTTAACACTAACCCTGACACTGATATAGATCAAACCCTGATTGTTATTTTATTTCTGTTCCTTGTTTACATTTTTTTTTTCTAGCAAGAATTAAAATAAGATACCTTGTACCTTCTCCATTTAAGAGTAGAAAACACTCACAGGGGCAGGTTGTACAGTGACCAGTCAGAGGCTATCACAGCGATCAGGTGATCGGGAACTGGGTCTCCCAGTTGGTACAAAACATGGGGCTCTCAGTGAAAGTCCGGTCTCTGTGTTGGGATTGTGCTCTCAGCACAAACGCAGGTATCCATGTCTGCAGCCCCACAAAAGAAAATCCACATATGTGAACAGTGGGCAGGAAGGTTAAAATTGTTCCTTTCATTTTCAGTCTAGCACCAGAAGAAATAAAAAAAAAATTTGTCATTTGATTCTACACACAATGCACACTCCATTTCTTTTCCCCCAAAATCAACTCCTATAAATGGAGGTTTTACTGGCTTGCTGCAGCAAATGTGAAACCAAAATCAGATCTTGGCAATTTTTAATTTAGACTCCATGCACACTAGCCTTTTTAAGCTCCTAGAAGCTATTATCAGTATATTTTTTTTTTCTCCTAGAAGCTAAATTATGTTATCCTGTGTGTCCATGCACACTCCTTTAGGCTATTAGCATTTTTTGAGCTTCAGCATCTAGAAATAGGAAAAAAATATTTTTTGTAGTTTAAGTGGTTTTCCAGTAGAAAAACTCTAAACGCTCCTAACAGGTTTAGTTTTTGTCCCTCTACATGCATTCCAAAACCTCTAATAAAATGCTAATGCTTCTGAATACTACCTAAAAGCGGAGTTCCTCCTGAAAAAAATAACTAAATAAAAGCAGCTACAAAAACTGTAGCTGCTGACTTTTAAAATAGAAACTTACCTGTCCCTCGGTCCAGCGATGCCCCCACCACTGCTGGTTTAACCGGCCGTCATCTATCCCTGGCACCGGCATCTTCAGTTTAGGCACCTAGCTGTGACAGCTTGCGGCTTCACAGCCGGGTGCCCACTGCGCATGTGTGGGAAGCGCTGCACTTTGTGAATGGCTTTGTAGTCTTCTGGGACCTGTCACGTCACAAGAAGACTACGGGGAGGGAGGGGGAAGGGAAACTTCTGCTTCTGATTGCCTAGGCAATCGCAGCGGAAGTGGGAGCTGGTACCTGTCAAATTTGAGTTTCAGCTTAAAAAAAACTAGTGTGCCTGGAGCCTTCAATAATGATACTGCTTCAGAGTATACTGTAATAACATTGCAATGAAATGCAAAAATGTGTAAAGTGTATATTACTTTAACTGTATTTTGTAAGAGAAACTTTATTTCCCGCTTACAGTACATCCCCTTTACCTATGTTTATTCCTTCTCTCTATTTTTTAAGGTCTCTTAATATGGACTTTGAAAATCAAGACAAGGAGAAGGACAGCGGTAGCTCTCCAGGAACGTTTAGTGGGAACAGCACCAATAATAGTAAGAAATAACTATAACACACATTTTACGGTTTCCTTTAGGATAATTGTACATGGTTTCCTGGAGCCACACAATGTAAAATTGGGGTGTATTTTCCAGTCCCAGAGCCACAGATTTGTGTTTTGTGTTTTACGTCTGTATGCATAAATGGGTTCATGCACGTACCATGGCATATGCTGGCACAGCCGCAAAAAGTCATTTAAGTACATGGGGCAGCTCTTGCAGTATAAGTGGCTCCCTGGTGGGAAATACACCCACGCTTTATGTTGTACGACTAGAGGCGGCTATGTGCATAAGCCTTAAAAAAAAAAAAAAAAAAAAAAAAAAAATCTCCCACCACTATTCAGTAGGTATAGGATTTGATTACATTCTAGCAGCAGTTTATCTCCCTCAAGCTCCTGGTATTTTCTGAAATGTCATGCATCTGCTGTGCTTTCCCGAGCAGCATTCAATGAACAGGGGACAGACAAGGCCATTCTTCTGTTTTGTATGTACACATTTGTTGGTACCCTTCCACTAAAAGGAATAACTTCCGATTTTCTATGAAACAACTTAAAACTGACAAAAAAATTGCTGTCCATCGTATATTGCGTATTTGATCAAAATCTGACTTTGATTCAGCAGATAGTTTAAATAATAAAAGAAGTAAAAATGGCATGAACAAAATTGATGGGGCCATTAGCCTAATATATTTTGTTGGAAGACCCTTAGCGGCAATCACTGCAAACAAGTAAATTCTGTAGCTGTTGTTGAAATTCTGCACCTGCCAACGCGCAGTTTGGCCCACTTTTCTTAAGCAAACTGCTCCAGCTGTCTTGGGTTTGAAGGATACCTTGTCCAGACTGCATGTTTCATAATTTTCCATAGACGTTCAATAGAATTCAGATCAGGGCTCATAGAAGGCCACATCAGAATATTTCATTGTTTTGTTTTTCGTCACTCTTGGGTGGTCTTGCTTCATGTTTTGGGCCATTATCCTATTCCATTACAATGACCTGCAATAGCTTCCTGTCCCTGGGCAGTCCCTTTTTGCATGAGAATTCCTTGTTAGACTTAAGATTTTATTGTGCTGCACAGGTTCAAGGCACCCAGTGCCATAAACAGCAAAGCAGCCCCAAAACATACCCGAGCCACCTTTTTACATTTTTACAGTAGGTATCACTTTTTCTTGAAAGCTTCATTTTTTTGTCTCTAAACATAGATCTGATGACACTGGTTATTTTTTGGTCTGCTTTTTATTGTTCCGTGGTTACACAGATTGTTTTACGTATGTAACAAGACCTATCCTGTATACGTACACTTAAATGCTGTTACTACTTTTTTTTTTTTTTACTTGGCTCATTGAAAGCAAACAGCTGATGTGACTTGTCAATAAACTCATTTTTTTTTTCTTTCCAAAGGACATTCTCCTAAAATAATTGTGGCTTGTCAATGTGTATTTTGTCAAATTCCAGTGTGGCTCTGTCTTCCTTTCAACAGTACCTCCTGGCCCTTCTTCCTGTAAGCCCACTGCCGCTCAAAAAGCGACGGATGGTGTAAACAGATGCCAGTGTACCTTGGAGTTCAACTTGGGAAGTTTTCCTTTGTATTTTTTTCTGCAGTTCTCACTATCCTTTTGTACAGTCTGAGGTCAAATGTCCTTTCTCAGCTATGTCCAGGGAGGTTGGCCACAAAACTTTGTATTTTGCAACTGTCACCGGAACCTCGAGGTGCTTGGAGATAGTTGTATAGCTTTTTCCATTGACATGATGGTCTCTAATTTACATTTGTCTTCCTCAGACAACCCTCTCTTTTCTTTGGTCCTTGTTCAATGTGGCTCACTTGAGGATTCTAATCACCAGGTTGACTAGCTTAAATAGGCTGAATGATTATGAGGTTGAAGATTATACTAATTACAGAAAACTGTTTGAAATGTCACTATGATTGAGTTTTTTACAATAATTTCTAGGGGTACCAACAAAACTGTTCAGGAAATTTTAGAATATTTCTTTGCTTAACCCCTTAGTAACTAAAGGGTAAAACGGATGTTAAAGGATAAGTTCACCTTTTGGACAAAAATAATAAATGCACATTTTTTTGCAGGTAAAAAAAAAATGTGCATTTATTTTTTTTGTCCAAAGAAGCCTGTAAAGCATTGCACCAGCGATCAGTAGATCACTGATGCCATGCAGGTCTCCTGCAGACCTGTCAGATTATTTGCTTGCCGTACGGGATATACCATCAAGCAGATATTCTGCCAGTGAGCTTCAGTGAACTACCACGGTGCTCCACTACAAGCAGACAACCGCTAAGGCTGCCGGGACTTGTAGCCACTCATTCACAGAACTCTATGAATGAATGACTCGGCTGTGTGGGCTGAGCTCCGCATGGCCACGCTGTTTTCAAATTTGACAGATAGTACGGAGAGAAGTATCCCCTTACTGTCTGCTGGGGGGGCTGCGGCGGTAGCAGACATAGCTGCGGCTATGGGAGCATGTTAAAACAGGTGGAACATGTTCCAAAGGTGAACGTATCCTTTATTGCCTGAGCAAAGTTTTGCAACGTTGACATGTTAGTAAAACTGTGCATATCATTGCAACTACTTTGTGCATCCAGGTGAATTATATCTTGTATTTTTTCAGGACAAATTGGACTTTTTTTGGCAGTAACATCTCCTGATCTTTTTTTTTTATTATCAAAGGAAAACTGGCCCAAAATAGCATTTTGCTTTTTAGGTTTAAAAAAAAAAAAAAACAGGCACTAATTGACACTGATACTAATTTAACACCTTCCCACCCCGGCCTATAGCAGATCGACAGCCAGGTGGGACATTCGCTGTTGTGACTGGGCATCATATGACGTCCTGTCAACAGCCTCAGGGCCGCACGGTGGCGTGACCTGTCACCGGCTGTGTCCACTCCGATGACATATCACTACACCAGCCCGATGCCAGTGTCATGTGACTGCTGTGACTAATCACAGCAGATCACGACAACACAATTATATACAATGAATGGCATGACAGGAAACCATCCATTGTATATAATTGTGTTAGCTGTGATTGATCAAAGCAGTCACATGGTACAGACAGGGCCAATCACAGCCCATTTATCATGTGACGAGCTTTGCCCAATCACAGCTAATCACAACAAAAGACTGAATTAATCAGTTTCATTCAGTAACAATGATTGCAACTATCAATCAATGAAATACATTGGTATTAGCAATCATAATGTGTGTGTGTAAAAAAAAAAAAAAAAAAAAAAATCCTGATCACTTGCCCAGAGTAGTTCAATGTTACAGTGTGTTGAAAAAAAAATAGTAAAAAAGTAGAGAAATTTGAAAAAAATAAAAATTGATTTTTTTTTTTTTTTAAAACATACTGTCACCAGTCAGTGTCCCTGATCACAGCCACACCAGTTATATAATCATGCTGTACTGGACTAGTAACAATATGTAAAAAAAAAAAAAAAAACTTTATTTTTTTAAAACTTGTACATTTTCCAAAAAATTGTAACAAAAAATGACAACCTCCAAAAACCTCACCATGTCTCTTACTAAATACCTTGGACTGCCTATTTTCCAAAAATGGGTAATTTGGTAGGTATTTGTACTATACTGATGTTTTTGGGCCTCAAGAAATGAGATTGGCTGTCAGTACATTGATCGATTGATATATATACCATGGTTTGTGGACTCTATACACTAATTTGGGGTATTTTCACCAAAGAAATCTAGTAGAATACATTTTGACCTAAATTTTATGTAGAAGTGTTATTTGCAAAATCTTTTAACCACTTCCCGACCGGCCGTTGTATATAAACGGCCGGACGGTGGCACTGCAGGGTCGGGTGGCCGTCTATAAACGGCCTCCCCGCACCCTGCTTGTGCGCGCTGCCTGGGAGCGCGCAGCACCGCGATCCGGTGCCCGCTGTGTCCTCCGGACACAGTGAAACACCGATTGTCGGACGGGACCTCTGTACGAGGTCCCGATCATGTGATCACTGATTGGCCAATCAGTGATCACATGCAAAGTAGTAAGCAAGATGTCACTTCTGACATCATTGCTTACTATGTTTGAAATCTGTGAATGATCACAGAGGTCACATGGTACAAGGCTATTCACAAAAGCCTTGTACCATGTGACAAGCTGTGACCAATCACAGCTCACTCAGTTTTTCTCAATGAGTGCATGAATGCACACAGAGAGAAAGAGAAATGATTGCTTTTACATCCTATATGGGTGTAAAAGCAATCAGTGTAAAAAAAAAAAAAAAAAAAAAAAAAAATCTTCATCACCCCTCACAAGTAGTACAGTGTCACCATGGTGACACTGTACTGCTAGGGTGACAGTATGTAAAAAAAAAAAAAAAAAAAAAAAATAATATAAAAAAAAAAAATAAAAATGTAAAAAAAATTTTTAAAAATTATAATTTTTGCTTATAAACTAATTTGGATTTTTTTTTTTTTACTAAAAAGATAACGGAATAAATTTTGGCTAAGATTTATGATGAAATATTATTTATTTGCAAAATTTTATTAAAAAAACACTTTTTTTCAAACTTTTTGGACATTTCATTTACATAGCAAAAAAAAATACAAATCGCAGTGGTGAATAAATACCACCAAAATAAAGCTTTATTGATCTCAAAAAAATGGTAAAAAATTCATTTGGGTACAGTGTTGCATGACCGTGCAATTGTCATTCAAAGTGTGATAGCGCTAAAAGCTGAAAATTGCCCTGGTCAGGAAGGGGGTAAAAGTGTCCGGTCTGGAAGTGGTTAACAGTGAAGAAAAAGGAGGTTTTTTTTTTTTTTGTTTTTTTTGTTCCAAGTTTCAGGTTTTTTTTTTTTTGTTTAGCGGGAAAAAAAAATTGGTGATTGAATACCACCAAAAAAAAGCTCTATTTGTGTGAAAAAATAATTTTTTATGGGTACAGTGGTGTATGACTGCACAATTTGTCAATCAAAGTGTGACAACACTAAAAGGTTAAAATTGGCCTGGGTAGGAAGTGTGTGTACAAGTAAGTGCCCAGTTTGAAGGAAAAAAAAAATCCTGCCCCAAAATATACTGACTCTGACCTTTAGCCCCCTCTTCCCCCCCTTACTTGACCCAAACATTAACCCTGGCACTGATCTAGGTCAACTTTTGTTTATTTACGCTCTACCTGCAATTCAAGGTGCAATGTATCTCTCCCTCCATTCAGAGAGAGAAAATGCAGGGGCAGGCTACACAGTGACTGATCATTGTGATAGCCAATCAGAGGCTATTACAGGGATCAGGTGACACGAAACCAGGAGTCCTGGGTCCCGATCGTTAGTATGGGACCTGTGAGAGCCCATTGTCTGTGCTAGAAATGTGCTGTGCGGTGCCCTTCCCACCCGGCAGAAAGACAGATACGCATATTTGCGGACCCACGGATAAAGGCCCACTTAAGGGGTTAATGCTGACATAGGGCATGCAAGTATACATAAGGCAATTGCTTTTAGTTTCATTATCTTTCAGAAATAATGAATTATCCTTTTAAATACACTGTAAGGGCACCAACAAATTTTTCCATGGCTCTAGGTGTTCTGCATATGTGACCTTTTACTAGACTCGGGGAGATTCATTGAGCATAGTGGATTACTGTTTCTGAAGACGTACTTGCCTAGCTAGCTGTTCAGTCAGTGTGAACCACAGACCTAGTGTGCTGTAAACAAATGTCAAACAATTAAAATTCATGTTTGCTATATTTGTTCTGGGTTAGAGACTCAAAGTTTTGAAACCAAAGCATCTGCATGATAGCCAGGAACAAACATTCTCACAGTAAAAGTCATTAATTGGAGACGACATAATGGCAAAGCAGCGTTTTTGTTTTTTTTTAGTCTCTTTTTAAATAGGCTGCATAGTTCTTGTGTTAATTGAGATTACTGTCTTTATGGAACACTTGAGCTGCATTTTGACTTTGTGGAAGAAGCAACATTAAAATGTTTATATTTTTTTTAATGTGCAGCAGTATTTTTAACATGAAATTTTGCCTCTGCAGGTATCCAGACTATTGACTCCACTCAGGCATTGTTCCTTCCTATTGGAGCCTCAGTGTCTCTTCTGGTTATGTTTTTCTTCTTTGACTCAGTTCAGGTGGTGTTCACTATTTGCACTGCAGGTGAGTGTGGTTTATTTCCATCATTGTGGATGTTAAAGTTGGCCTTTGTAGCAAAGTAATGGTCCGTCTAATGCTTAATTTTCTCTTCCAGTTCTTGCAACAATAGCTTTTGCTTTTCTGTTGCTCCCTATGTGCCAGTATTTAACCCGACCCTGCTCTCCTCAGAACAAGTGAGTATACACTAGTTGGATATGCATGACGAGATGCTTCATGTAAACCCAAATTAAAGATGCTTATTTCCTCTGTATCTCACGGTGTTATTGGGAGGGGGGAAAAAAGATGAAAATACCAGTTGCAGTTAAAGCAAAGGAACCCTGGAGGTCTTGGCTATGAAAACTGGAAGAAAGAAGCCTGGTGCAGAAATGGAACTTTTGCCCTTAGCAACCAATAATTTGTCATTCATTCTTAGGGGAAATTATACAAAATAATCTTCTTGCCATGGACAGCAGTTTTATTTTATGCTACAGATGTAGTTTTACTTTTTATAGATCTGCTCCTATTTATTACTATTATTATTATTATTATACAGGGTTTATTACCATATTTATCAGCAAGTGCTGTTGCTTATTTAAAGTAAAACTGGGCCACAGTTTCTCTGAGTATTTTGTTAGAAAAGGGTGAGTCTGCAAAAATGATTTGGTTACCAACCCTTCTGACCTAACAAGTATGTACAAGTTACAGATATTGCGTGCCAGTTTGCTAATCAGTTGTTTAGTAAGCCTTATTGTTTGCTTTCTTTGGGACAATTTTTAGCTATTTTTTTTATCAGCCAAAACGTTTTAGTTTTAAAGGAAAGATAGGGTTATAACCTCTGTCTGTATTTTTTTTTTTTTTTTTTTTTCCCTGTCTATACTATTATGAAAATTTTCCTTCACTTCCTGACTCAAGGATGCAATAGGAAGTTAGAGTAAGTCTCCCAAAATGAATAGACAGTTGTCTTTGGAACAGGTGTCCCCTTTGGAAGATTTCCCTTAATCGCTTCTAAGGACCACTCTAAAATTTTGGATTTCCCCTCTCTTTCTTTCTTGCTGAAAATGTTGATCAGTACAAATAAGAGTGGAAAATTTCCCAAATGGGAACTTGGCAATGAAATTTGATATGGGGTCTAACCCAGCCTTTCTCAACCTTTGTATCCCAGAGGAGCCCTTGAAATGTATTAGGGTCTCAGGGAGCCTTGCTGAAGATTATACCTACAATTCACAGTACATTTTACATGATCAGTAAGTTGTAGAAAGTATAAAGAATGCCCGCTGTCACACCAAGGGGGAACTGGCTGCAGGAGCTGGAACAGGTTACATGTTCGCAGGCCAGAGTACTAGGTGTCATCCTAGACTCCAACCTGTGTTTCCAACCCCAGGTCCAATCACTGACAAATGCATGTAGACTCCACCTCCGCAACATCTTCAAAATACGTCCGTTCCTAACCCCGGAAACTACTAAGCAACTCATCCACTCCCTTATCATATCACGACTTGACTACTGTAACTCCCTCCTCACCGGCTTACCTCACCACAGGCTATCCCCGCTTCAGTCTACCCTGAATACTGCGGTCAGACTCCTCCACCTTACTAACCGCTCCGTATCCGCCACCCCCCCCCTTTGCCAATCCCTCCACTGGCTTCCGATTGCCTAACGGATCAAATTCAAAATGCTAACCTTGACGTACAAAGCTGTTCATAACACTGCCCCAAACTACATCACCGACCTGATATCCAAATACCACCCTAAACGTACTCTCCGCTCCTCACAAGACCTTCCTACTCTCTAGTTCCCTGGTCTCCTCCTCCCATGCCCGTCTCCAGGACTTCTCCAGGGTTTTTCCCCATCCTCTGGAACTCCCTACCCCAATCAATCAGACTATCACCTACCCTCCTCTCCTTTTAGACGCACCCTGAAGACCCATCTCTTCAGGGAAGCCTACCCCGCCCTCAGCTAATTGCCAATCTCCTCCACTCTTCCTACCACTCCATCCCCCACAGCTATCTCCTCCTGTACCACTATCCCCTCCCTCCTAGATTGTAAGCTCCAAGGAGCAGGGCCCTCGAACCTCGTGTATTGAATCGTATTGTTACTGTACTGTCTCGTGTACCGTCTCCCATTGTAGTGTACAGCGCTGAGCAAGCCGTTGGCGCTACATAAATACTGTATAATGTTTGATGCTAAAAATGGATGGAACATGTTACATATTCAAAAAGGTGAACTTAACCTTTAGCTACTTAGTGGGGTATTCATTTCAGTAAGTGGTGTCTGAAACAAAGTTATATTTTTCATTACCCCTTACCTTATTTATTTTGTTCTAAGCTTGTTCCCTTTTTTCCTTGTAGGATATCATTTGGGTGCTGCGGTCGGTTTACAGTTGCAGAACTGCTCTCCTTTTCACTCTCTGTAATGCTAGTTCTTATTTGGGTGCTGACAGGCCACTGGCTGCTCATGGATGGTAAGTGATCAGCTTTAGGCTACCAGGCAGCCATTACCACTTTGTACTTTTGTTAATGTAAACATCACAGAATTCTACTTTGCTACTCAATGCAGTTTGAGGTAGGTCATGCATTAAAAGAAAGCTGTACAGCTTTCTTTTAAGTCCTACTTGTGTGTGTATATAGTTTGTGTTTATCATGAAATGTTCAGTGACCACTACTGTGCTCTGAAGTCGCTATTTGATTTTGTGGCCATTGCATTTGTTCCGAACTGAAAACTGCTGTCTGATCTTTCAGCCCTTGCCATGGGACTCTGTGTGGCAATGATTGCCTTTGTGCGCCTGCCTAGCCTGAAGGTGTCCTGTCTGCTCCTTTCAGGGTTGCTCATATATGATGTATTTTGGGTAAGTAGAGATGATGGTGTTTATGTACAAATGTAAAATTCTTTTATAGCTAACTATTCTTCCATATTTTGCTTGCCTTGTGGAGTTTTTTTTTTTTTAATTTCCTAAAGTACCTTATTACAATATTCTTGTCTCTTTGGCCTGCTTAAAGCAGTTTGCAAGGGGTACCTGCATTGCTGATAAACAAGTTTCAAACAGGATCTGATAGTAGTCTGTTTACATCCTCTTGTCTGCAGCAGCTAGACAGAGCCGAAGGGTAGGCAGCAGAACAACTGATCCTCCACCCCATTACAAAGTTTGTGTCTTCTCAGCCTTCTTTATTGATAGGTAGGAGCACTTGCTGCACAAAAAGATAAGGGGAACAGGTTGGAGGAAATGCGAGTTTTTCAGGAAAACAGGTACTTCTTGTAATTGCCTTGGATAAAGAATTAGAGGTGACAATGCACTTATTTCTGTGTCACTCTAACCAAAAATAATTTTTAAGGAAACAATCTAATCTTTTGACCAACTTTGTCTTTTTCTTCTTAAAACTTTGCTTATAAACTGGTTTTTAATTACTTTTTATTATTTCTATGAAATCCTTTTAATAAAAGAAAAAAGTGATGCATTCTTGCTTCAGTTTGTACAGTGCTTGCTGGGCGCTCTATTAAAATTTGCCCCACCACTTGCATGTACGTATCTTTCCTTTTAGGCCCCATTCACACTAGGGCGATTTCTAAACGCCCTGCTAAAATGACAGATTGCGGAATTGCGTGTTCACATGCCATTCATTTTAATGGTACCTGAAAACGCGGTGCGGGTCTGCTGCAATTGTTGCATGATGCAGTTTGCTGTGCAACTGCACTGTGTTTTCAGGTGCCATTAAAATGAATGGTGCCTGAACATGCGGTTCAGCGATTTGTCACTTTAGCAGAGCAATTCTGCCCATGATTCAAAACTCCCTACTGTGAATGGGGCCTTACACAGGGCTGAGGAGACTTTCGCTTCCCTGTGTGACAGCACTGAGACTTTAACCACTGCAGCCCCGTAAGATTTCCCCCCTTCCTGACCAGGCAAATTTTTTTTACTATTCGGCACCTCATTATTTCAACTGGTAATTGCACGGTCTCTCATTACTGTACCCAAACAAAATGTGGCTTTTTTCACACACATAGAGCTTTCTTTTGGTGGTATTTGATCACCACTGGCTTTTTTTTGTGATATAAACAAAACTATATTTTCTACCTTCTGTTATAAAAAAAATATCCAATAAACTCAAATTTAGTCATACATTTAGGCCAAAATGTATTCTCCTACATGTCTTTGGTAACAAAAAAAAATATCCCAATATGTGTATATTAATTGGTCTGTGTGAACGTTTTATAGCATCTACAAACTATGGTGTGTGTGTGTGTATGTATGTATGTATATATATTTTTATGCAACTTTTGCTTTGACTGCCTCACAAATCACATTTCTTGAGGTGCTAAAATGCCAGGGCAGTACAAACCCCCAAATTGCCCTTTTTCTGGAAAGTAGACTCCCCAAGGAATTTGTTGAGAGGCATGTTGAGTCCATGGAAGATTTTATTTTTTTGCCACAAATTTTTGGAAAAATATGAAAGAAATATTTATTTTTTTACACAAAGTTGTCACTTAAATGAAATATTGCTCACACATGCCATGAGTAAATTTAATTTCAGTGACTTTGTGTAAAAAAAAAAAAAAAAAAAAATTTTTGTATCATTTTAAAAAAAAATTTGGCAAAAAATAAAATCGTCCATGGACTCAACATGCCTCTTAGCAAATTCTTTGCGGTGTCTCCTTCACATAAAGGGGTAATTTGGGGAGGTTTTTGTACTATCCTGGCATTTTAGGGCTTCTGAAACAACTGTAATGGGTAGTGAGGAAGTGACATATGCCCTTTGAAAGCCTGAAGGTGGTCATTGGATTTTGGTGCCTGTCATTGGCTAGGCTGCCAAAAAGTCTCTTACATGTGGTATCTGCATACTCGGGAGAAGTAGCAGAATGTATTTTTGGGTGTTATTCTACATATACTCATGGCATGTGTGAGCAATATAATGGCGACAAACTACATACATTTTTAAAATCCATAGCCATTGCTTTAAAAGCCTGTACAGGTTACCAATTTAGATCTAGTGCAAGAATTACTTCCCTCGATCTGATGTTCATGGTGATACCTCACATGTATGGTGCAATCTCTGTTTACATACCAACATGCCTTTGCAAGTGAGCACAAGGGTGGGTTTTTTTTCTTCTATAACTTATTTTGCTTTATTCATGCTGTGATAGCAAGAGCCAATGACAGCTACTGTTTTCTGAGAAATCTGGGGTCTCTAATAGAAAAAGATCATCCACTCATGAGTAGAGCAGAACTAATTTTTTTAATTTTTTTTTTTTTTTTACATATTCTAACACAACATATTGTGTTTAACAGAATATATCACTTAAATCCTCATGTACTATGTAGTTAACCCCTTGGTGCTGGTACCCTCCCGGCCCTTTAAGGGGTTTAGGATCATGTGACCACCATGATTGGCTGTAACAGCAGTCACTTGAACAGTAAGCCTTCCTTTCCGTGAGGCGCCGATAAATGTGCCAGGAGTGCACTGGGTTTGGGTACGCAAATATGCGGCCTCTCGCCGTCAAGGCCCAGCCGCATTTTTACGTACTGTCGGCGCCAAGTAGTTAAGAACGATATGTTTATTAGGGACCACATAAATAAGTGAAGATAAGTTTTATGATATACTGAACGTTTATAGTTTTTCCTGTCATGTTTATATCATGGTCTCTCTCCCCTGCAGGTGTTCTTCTCTGCCTATATATTTAATAGCAACGTGATGGTCAAAGTGGCAACTCAGCCTGCTGACAATCCTCTGGATGTATTATCTAGGAAGCTTCACCTTGGTCCCAATGTTGGAAGGGATGTACCTCGGTTATCACTGCCAGGGAAACTAGTATTCCCTAGGTAAGTGTAAGATAATGACTGTACTTCTTATTGCCTATAAACTGTATATTTTATTATATATCTGGGCTTTTGTAAAGCAGAGGATAATTTGGTATCTTTTTAGCAAGTAAAAGCTTGGTTATACTGCAGTAAGCTTTAATGCTCTCATTATAGTCAATTATATATATATATTAACATTGTGTTTTTTGCAGTTCCACAGGGAGCCACTTCTCTATGCTTGGGATCGGAGACATTGTGATGCCAGGTCTACTTCTGTGCTTCGTTCTGCGTTATGATAATTACAAAAAACAGGCAACCACTGACTCTTTGTGGTGCACCAGGGGCTGCCAATATTTCTGGGCGAATGCAGAAGGTCTCCTACTTCCATTGCACACTTATTGGGTACTTTGTGGGTAAGTAGGCAAATGCAGAGCAAGTCAAAATGTTTAACTTGACAAACCTACTGGTCTATGGTGTTTTCGAAAAGGCTATTAACAAAACAAAGATGAAAGGTCATCTCTTAGTTACATATGAAACACACATTATATCTATATATACTATTCACATATTTTATCGGTTCCTTCATCTATGGCCATGTTATTTCAGTAATTGTAGTGGCTGTTCTCACATGGCTCTTATTTTTCTTAGGACTGTTAACGGCAACAGTGGCTTCGCGCATTCACAGGGCAGCCCAGCCTGCTTTGCTGTATTTGGTTCCATTTACTTTATTACCGCTTCTCACTATGGCCTATTTAAAGGTAGGCACCACATTTATTACCAAATATTTGTGTGTTGTGTTAGTTGGTTTCATATTTTCATTGCATTTCGCTTGTAATATCTATCTTGAATGTTCCTGTCTTTATTTTCCTTGTGGTCTATTTTCTGGTTTCAGAAATAATTTTGTATTTAATGTTAGATTATACTGAAAAAAAAATAGAAATGTCAGATACTACACCATATACTGCAGGTGGGCCCCTTGTTTTAATGATTTGAATAGGCTTCTAGAAAGGGTTTTGAATTGTGACAGAGCAATGGCACACCGGTTTGTCAGATCACCGCTTTAACCACTTGTCTACAAGGAGAGTTTTAAAATTTTTCATACACCATTAAATCTGAATTATTTATTTATTTTTTCAATACATTACTTGAAACCTCTAACTTATATATTTTTGAACGCAGAAGCCCTGTAAAATAAAATGGTGTCAGTAGCAATTTTTTTTGCTGCCTGATATTTACGCAGCTGCAAATACCATGCAACATTTCTAAGATGGGGTAAAATGCAAATGTTTTCATAACTGGTGGAATTTTGTCTACTGATCACAGCAAAATCTGTCAATTGCAGCACAAATGTGTGGTCCTTGGAATATGATTACTAAATGGATTTAGGCTGAGATGTGTATGTAGTTGTGTTTGTGAAATCAAATACCATTAGCCAGAATACTTTAGAGCAAGAGTCTCCATACATTCTAAGCACAGTACCAGTTTACTTGCCCTCAGGCTTGTGGAGGGACGGACTGTGGCTAGTGGGAGTAGACAATACCCTGACATCAGTGCCCCATCATTGGTTTTCATGGGAGGAATATTGACCCATCAATGAGAAGAAAAGTGCTTCATTAATAGTGTCAATAGGGAAAATGGCAATCCATCATTGGTGTCCATTGGTGGAATAGTACCCAAAGGGCCACATCTGGCCCTGGGCCCCAGTTTGGAGACATTTTTGTCTTCAACCCTCGCTCCTTACCCAATACCTTTTTCACAGTGCAAGCAGAATAAAAGGATAAGCCTTCTTTATTCAGTCCATAAAAGTATTATCCCAGGGCACCGATCTAAGCGTAGCTTAAAACACATCAGTTGGCAACTTACACAGTCACCGATACAAACTACATGACTTAGCTCTTCTAGGCTTGCATCTCTCTCATCTCCTGGGGCTGTGTGTTAATCCAGGCCAGTAAGCATGAAACACTACCACAGATCTATCAAACCATCAGGAAGTATGGAGACTTTATGGAGAGCAGCAAGGAGATGACGTCACATGCACAGGGGGATGAGGGGCTGAGCCAGGTGCCGCTTCAGACTCTGGGGTGGATCCTGGCTTTGAAGTCTTTCCCCAGCCTGGACCAGCTGAGTGACTCCATTCAGCAGCGAGCCTTAGCCTGCTTTTGGCTGAAAACTGGTCACAGAAATGCAGAATGAACTGCACCCCTGTGATCCACAGAAGTACAGCCAAAAGAGCTTTGGCTGTACTTCTCCTTTTTAATAAATGCGTTGTTAAGGTATACTTAGATTAGTGCCCTCTGGTGTTCCCTTTTTAAATGATTGTAAACCCATTACATATACCCAGTGAAGTGACTGGCCTCAATTGGTACACAGAGATTAAACAAATCTACATAAGTTGTACCCATTTATCTGTAGACCTATGTCCTGTACAAACTTTCAAAGTCCAGAATTTACACAAGATCTCTCAGCTCTGAAGAGCAGGGGGTGTGGAGCTGGCATTACACTCTGCAGAGCTCAGAGAGCTGATTGGAGGGAAGAGACAGAAACACCATTCACAAACGCATACAGGAACAAACCTGAAGCTGTCAATCACAGGTGTGTACTGGAGCCCCCTCCCCTATCACCACCTGTTGGTGTCAAGAAAACATGTCAGAAGTGACTCATGCAGATAGCAAAGGAATGAGGCAGTAGACAGAAATGACACTTGGTGCTCTGGATTGGGACAAGTACAAACTATAGAGGGCTATGCTTTTTTTGTTGTCTGAGGTTTACAACCACTTGAGAAGCTGCAGCAAGTGTATCAGATGGAACAAAGTTAACCCCTGGTGTACCTATATGGAATTTTTAGGGACTACTAGTCCTATATCTCTATATAACTTATGCATTGCCTAGCCCATATCGTACATCTTGCACCATTTTTTTCTATTATTTCTCTGGTTCGTCTACCTGATATTATTTTTTGTTTTCTAGGGTGACTTGCGGCGAATGTGGTCAGAACCTTTCCATACCAAGGCCAGCAGCTCACGCTTCCTTGAGGTATGATGGGAGCAGAGGACAAGAGGCCAAACTTGGCAGGATTTCTTCACTTTGGCTTTCTGTACCCTGGATAAACTTGGTGTTTAACAGACACAGCTACAACTGAAAGACCTCAAAAGAATGGAATTTGTGTAAAATAAAAAAGCATAAACTTTTTTTCTGGCGAGTCGACCATGTGAGCTCCTCCTAATCCCTCGAACAGGCCCTCAACATCGGACTCATTTCCTATAGGAAGAGCGGACTAGAATCAGGGTGGCAGTGGGATCATAAGGAAACCTGGAATTGTTCAGAATGGCCTGCTTGCAGCTCAAAGTAGCATGTGATGGTAAAGGCCTGTGAGCTATGGACTATTACAGCTTGTTGGAACCTGTGGGACCAGACCCCATGGGGAGCAGTTCAGCCCTCTTACCAGCTCTCCTTCCTGTTCTTGTTTTTTAGTTTAATATCTTCTGTGGTGTGAAGTGACTTTTTAGATCTAAGCCAGTGTGAGTTACTCGCTATATATCCCATAGTCTATCGTATTTAATTCCATTTCTCCCGTTTCATGTTGCAGAGGGCAAGTCTAGGATGATATATATATGTGTATATATAAACGTATACATATATATGTCCATGGGTGGTTTAAATATTCACAGAACAAGGCCAGATCAGGTCAGGCCTCTGTTCTGTCGCATGTCCTGCACTTTCATCTTTGGCTTTATATGACTAACCCATCCCAGCAAAGTGAAGCCTCAGTTCAAATCCACTGTATCGTGTGCTCGTTCTGATGTATTCATGGCCTGTTAAGTGACTGTATTTGGTTCTGATCAATGTAGTGACCTAGGGCAGTTGAAATGTTCCGAAACCCCTTGTCTTCATTTGTGCGCAGCCTTTTTAACGGTTTCCTCGGACTCTTGCATGTCAAACTTGCTGCGCTCATCGCTCCCTCCATCAAAATAATGTTAACTTTATGTAAATACATATTTTCTTTTTTCTATTTTTTTTGTATTATAGTATTTTCATTTTGTCCTGTATTTCTGAACATCTCGCGTCTCCGTCAACTGTCGGGGAAGAAAAAAAAATTCAAATAAGGTGCTGAATGCCTGTAATTCACTCTGTTGTGCATCATACGAATTTTGCACTGGTGTAATTTTAGAATCCATAAGCTGCTAATGTGTAAATATCTGTATTGTATTCTAGAAAATGAAAGTTCATGTCAGGCGGTTTACAAAGAAAAGTAATTCTGGCTAGTGCTGCTGTTTTGCTAGCTCCCTCTTTTGGGTACTTGAACCATTACATAATCTGACAAAAACTAATTTAGGATTCGGTTGACTTGGTCACAAAGCAAGCTGTCAGTGGCTTAAAGCGGAACTTCACTTTCTCAATCCACATGGACTAGTTTTAATTCTTATGTTGCATCAGTAAATAGAAAGTATATCAGATTTGCTTGTTTTCATTTTGTTATTTACATTCCTTCAGTTACTTCCTGGTTTCCAGGCCTGTGCAAATGATGTCATACATCCCAGGAGTCTTCAGGAAGGAAGGGGGAGTTTTGTCAGCTAAGCACACTCTCCTTCCTGCCTGCCTGAACTAAGGGCAAATGGATTCCAGGAAGTAAATGCTACACGAATCACTTGCCATTACTCAAGATGGCCACAACCAGAAGTGCTGGGGGGTATTTTTCAAAGTTTAATTCTCAGCAGATTTATGTATTGAGATGTGGATGGATTGGTGAGTTTGCTTTGCATATCAAATATGAATTCAATCGTGTTTTTGGTTTGTGGTACTCAGATGCGGTGTAGTTCTGCTTTAAGCAATGCTCTGTTGGTTAGGGTTTCTTATTACTGTCAAACAATAATATTAAACTATACCCAGTCATCAGCCCCATGCATTCACTGGACTTACAGGACAAATGCAAATAGTTAATAGCATAGGAATCACTCAGGTGTAACTTCTCAGATGAGACTCCATTTGTAACCACAGCCATTATTATGCTGGATACCAAGTCCAAGTCTCCCAAACCACAATGACAAGTTGCTTGAATCTAGGTGGCTGTCTTCTCACAAAACTAAAAAAAAATGGGTCTTACTTTGCCTTTGCAGATAATAGACAGGACAGTCTGTCATTACAGGTCTGTCTGTTGCTTTCCCAGCATCTCTCTGGTTCTTGAGTGCTCACCTAACCCTCCCAGAACATGTGCCCCCCTCCTCTTATCCAAACCAGCCTGTGCCCCTAACAGCTCTGTAATGCAGAGATATTGCAGACTGGACTCGGTGCAATGTGTTGTTCTCAATTCTGCATGATTTTAGGAGTAGGCTGTACATCTCAGTGTGATATTCCTTCCCCCCCCCAATTTCAGGTTTACTGGTGGAGCACTTTGTTCCCGTTAACTGCTTCCCGTCCGCCCTATAGCAGAAGTAATATATATATGTATGTGTGATTTTGCATTTCTGGGTACCCTACCCGCGGCGCCATTCACGTCCGCAGCTGTCAATCACTGGGTCCCGGCTGGTGATTACTCACTGGCGCCCTGTGATTGCCGAGCATCTCCGACGGGGGGAGAACTGTTTGTAGCAAAGTCAGTGTGCAGGAGCTGACATTTGTTTACAAATTGTAAATTTCAATTGTCAGTTAAAACAACGCAGCGCCTTAATGCAAAAAATGACCTGGTCAGGAGGGGGGGGGGGGGGGGGGGGGGGGGGGTAAATCCTCAGGAGAACAAGTGGTTAATGTGTTCACAAAGCAGTCTAGTACATTGAAACTACGCATAAATATAAACACTAATATGATTTATTAACACTTTAGGCACTCATGCAAATGGAAGGTTATTTTGCTCAGTATATCCAAACTGGTCCACCTTGTCTACTTTATAATTGTTCTTTTGGAACAAGCCAAGAACTTGTTATGTTAGGTCATTCCACCAGCACTATCATTACAAAGCATTGTAATTGTCTGACAGACTCCCAAGTTATGCCCACAGTGACACCCCAGCCCTCTTCTATTTCTCTACCTAAAGATCAGTTTCGCTAGTCAGCAACTTTGAGTTGATGTCTTACTAAATGACCTGGTCATATTTTAGGTTTAACAGAACTGCTGTAATGTAAATGGTGATTTAATTCTACTCGGCGCTTGATCTTGGTTGATTATCATCCCACTTCATTAACCACTTGAAGACCAGGCCTTTTCTGGCACTTTTTGTTTACATGTAATAATCAGCATTTGTTGCAAAATATTTCTTAGACTCCTCAAGCATTATTTTTTTTTTCTTTCAAGCAGAGGTCCTAAAGAATAAATTGGTGGGTACTGCAGTTTTTTTTTTCTTATGCCACGTGGTATTTGCAATTTTTTTTGTAAAAAATATACTTTTTTTTTTTTTTTTTTTAATTTTAATGAAAAGCAAACCATGCATAACCCACTTTTTTTTTTTTGTCTGTTTTTTTTTTTTTTTTTTTTTACGCCGAGTAAATGGATACCAAACATGTCAAGCTTTAAATCTTGCGCATGCCTGTGCAATGGCAACAAATGAAAATTTTACCATCCTTAGGCGCAACGCATTAAAAGTCTTTACAGGTTACCACTTTAGATTTACAGGGGTCTAGTGCTAGATTTACTGCCCATGACCTGACATTCATGGTGATACCTCATGTGTGGGCTGATCGCTGCTTGCATGCATTTTCCTTTGCACACTAGCATTGGGGGCACGTTTAATTTGTTTTTTTTCCCACTGTTGCTTTAAATTTTTGGGTTTTTTAAAATCACTTTTATTGCTATCACAAGGAATGTAAATGTCTTATGACAGCAATTGGCATATGAAAGGTACTTTTTTATTTTTTTTTTTTTTATTATATATATATGGAGAGATCTGGGGTCTGGAAGGGGTCTAGATCCCTCCTCTGCCCTTAAAAGCATTTGATCACACCAAGAGCAGTGCGATCAAATGCTTTTTTTTTTTCCTTTTTTAAAAATGGCGCTGTTTATATCGGGGTAAACAAGAAGTGATCACTTCCGGTTCCCTATATCATATAGCTGAACTGAGTGGTTCCAGTATTTATTCGGTTCTATGATCCATCAGCGGAAGTGCTGGCTGTCCTGGTGGGACAGGATAGCCCGTGTAAAGCTGTGTCGGCTCTAAATGATGTGCATGATTTGGTGTCAAGTGGTTAAGCAGCTGAACCTCCTTTAGCCTGGGTTCACACTGATGCGGTACGGAATTCGCAGCGGTTTCCGTGCATCAGAATTGGCGTTCATGCAAACCGCTGCGGGTGTGTGTTAACAACACCCCGAAATAGGTCCGCAAAACACAGTGCGATGTGCAGAATCGGATCACATGGGTGTGAATACCCATGTGATCTGATTCTAGTGCAGACCAAAAAAAGGTCCTGCACAAAATGTATAGCTCCTGTGCGAATCACATGCGATGTATCGAACCGCATATATGTGAACCCAGGCTCAATGTCTTTAGCATGGTCAGCCTCAAAGTGCCTGAACCGATGTACACAAATATATCAATCCAAGTTGTTCATTATGGCCTCATTCACACAGGCATCTGGGGGTGGTGTGGTAAAAAGAGGTGTTTGAGCTGCGGTTTTACTGCTCACGTAAAAATGGCATACAGCTGCTTAGGGTTGTACACATACGCTGGCATAAATTATACCATTTTGTGGCCAAATGCTTGGTTGCAGTGTGGTATTTAAATACAAAAGCCCTATTTGGGTGTCAATAAATGGCCATTCAGGAGGTGGCAGTATTTCCAGACCTCTGAAAAGTGATTATTCATAGATTGCTTTACCCAAGGACTGCCACCTGTGTAAACAAGCCCTAATAGAGTTCACATTGCTGGCCAGTGTCAATGTTGGTCATTTTGTCTGGGTTACATTGCAAATACAGATAGTGTTGTAGGGGCACTGAAAAGGCTTCACAGGCATGTTATGTACAGTGCTGTAAAAAGTGTTCGCTCCCTTCCTGTGTTTTGTTTTGCATATTTGTAGCACTTAAATGCTTAAGATCAAATGAATTATAACATTACA